ATATCCTGGTTTTCATCAATATTCTCATTCTTACATGTTTAATAATACTGTGAATTACTATTTAAAAACTTACTATCAGATTTTTAAATGAAGATGACCAGTAATACATTGACCAGTTTGAAACATAGAAAAAAAATTTGAGCTAAATATGAGAAAGACCATTTTTAGTACTTGAAAAATAGAAAATTCTCTTTTACCAGAATTTTGTCACTTTGTCCTTAAGCTTTTAAAAATCTGAGGAGGTAGATGATTTAGTATGTGCCTCATGTTCAATCCTAAAGGGGGAAGAAGAAAAACAGAGTTTTGGCTTGATCAGAACTGTCATCCTAAAGTATTTCTATACCGCTGATGAGGAGCTGAGCAAGGGACAGGGTGATGCAAATTTAGCTTCTCCAGAGCAGGCAGGAAGGCGGAATTATGAATGGATTTTAAATTGAAAAAAGATAAGAGAGCCTCAGCCGGTTTCTGGACTGTGTGATAAATTGAAATCCATAAATATGGCTGAACTAATATGAGGTTCCATAATTGTGCCATGAGAATGTATACATTTAAAGGGATTTTTAACAGCAATGACCAGAAATGCTTCCCGTGAGACCTGTGTGAGTGAAGGGATTCCCAGTACTCAGCCCTTCACTGTAGATGAAACGAGAGAGGAGACTCTCGGTATCCTGAAATCACTGGGGAGAGGTGAAGCATTTGAGAGTTATTAACCCAAACTATAACTGGTGGTGGTGGTTATGTGCCGTGGAGTCGGTTCCGACCCATAGCGACCCTGTACAGGGTTTCCCAGGCTGTAAATCTTTACAGGAACAGAAAGCCTCATCTTTTTCCCACATAACAGCTGGTAGTTTCGAACTGCTGACCTTGAGATTAGCAGCCCGATTCATAACCACTACGCTACCAGAGCTCCTTAAACCATAATTAAATGCCTTTTAAAAAAGAGTAATTTCTGAACAAGGGGGAAAAAAATAGAAGCTCCCAGACTTTCCGGGTATGACTAATCTTTTTCTAATTTCTTAAGAAAAATGTTTCTTTTGCCTTAATGTCCAGGTGCTTTTTCAAAGGGTCCTCATAAAGAATTTATCTAGAGACCTTTGGCAAACGAAAGTTTTTATTAATAAGTGAATAAAATCCCTGAGTGCCACTAACACTTTAGTCTCAGCAACCAAATGAATGGTTGGCCGTCCAAACCCATCCAAGAGTGCCACAGAAGACAGTGCTGGTGAGCTACTTCTACAAAGATGACAGCCAAGACAACCACTGAGTCGGTTCCAACCCATAGCGACCCTGTATAGGGTTTCCGAGGCACACCTGGTGAGCTTGAACTGCCAACCTTACAGTTCAAACGGCTTTGCAGTCTGGCGCGTTAACCCACAGCGCCACACCAGGACAATCTATAGAGCAGGTCTCTATGGCGTCACATATGGGGTTGCCAGGAGTTGGAATTCACTCATCAGCAATGGATTTGGAGTTTTTAAACTTTCAATAAAGGGAAACAAAGCGATAAAAATACCCGGACATTGACGCATTCCTAGAGTAGCAGAGGCCTCTCTCATAGCTCCCTCCTGTTGTACCTTCAAAGCTGATGACAGACAGCATGGTCTCAACAGGAGCTATGTTGTTGTTGTTACGTGCTGTGGAGTCGGTCCCGACTCATAGCGACCCTGTACAGGGTTTCTGAGGCTGTAAATCTTTACGGGAGCAGAAAGCCTCATCTTTCTCCTGCAGAACGGCTGGTAGTTTCGAACTACCAACCCTGAGGATAGCAGCCCGATTCGTAACCACGTCTGTCAGAATCATGAGGGCTCATTTCGTCCCACAGCAAATGAACTACTTCCATGAAAATTGGTAACCTGTAGTTAAGCACTGGACTGCTAATCACAAGGCTGATGGTTCACGCCCACTAGCCGCTCCTTGGAAACCCTATACAGGTCAACAATTCTAATAATGCTGTTGACTTGTACACTGCCTTACCTCAAACGTAACTTTTTACACATCCCTGAGGGCAGGTCCCATACAAAAACCATGTTTTTAAACATAAAACGTGCCCACACAATGTGCACGTGATTTTAACACCCATAGCATACGTAGGAAACTGGCGTTTTGTGTAAAACTGTATAATCCACTCTTTATTTGCATGAAAATACTGTACACTGTGTTGCCTCAAACTCTGGCTCCAAGTCAAAGAGAATTTTAATTACTCATCAAGCTGCCGGATTCTACTAATTGCCCTTGTCAGCACATCTCATTGATTGCTGAATAGTAAATGAGCTACATATTTCTATTTGGACCATGATGCCTATTAATGGTTATTTTTAAAACTTGCAGTAGTTTCTCTTGGAAGGGGAGGAGGAGGAAGGGATGGGGGGCTATTCTCAAGGGACATGGATTAAATGAGCAAAATAGAACTTCACAGTTTCAATCTTCTCCTTTACTTAGAATTGCTGATCGATTTCCAGGCCAGACTTGTTGATATTTATTGGTGTATATACACATTGTTCTTTCTTTCCTAGACCTTTTGAATATATACAAAGTCAGCATAAGTAGCCTCTTGGGACAAAGAAATTGGCCAAGCCAATTTGGTTGCCTCCCATGCCTGCCCTAAAGCAGGTGGTTACACGTGTGTGGTCTTTAGTCTACACTTAAGCGAAATTAGCAGGCTTTTGCCCACTAGTCTGTGAGACTGGCCTGCATTTTACTGTGTTTTATCAGGTTCTCATGAAGTTCACATTTAGGGTTCCTTTTTCTGAATTCTGCCTGAGTCAAGTGGGGAGTCTGCCAATTGTCCGTGGCTGCCATCTCTGAAACTCACCATGCCTTCTTGGTAGCGAGGCCTCTCTCTTCCCACCATGCTATCTTGTCCCCTCAGCCTGTTCTTTCACAAGTGTTCCCTGGTGGAGTTCAGGGGTTCCAACCTTCTGTGGTGGCAGTGGTTGTATTTGAGCGTGCTTACCATGATTCTCACTCCCTTGTAGTGGGGCCGTGTGTGTGTGTGTGTGTGTGTGTGTGTTCTGTTGCTGGGCACTGCCTACTGTCTAATTTTCCCCCTTCCTCACACCCCACTGACCCCCTTCAAGCAAGTTAGCCTTCTAACTGGTGTTTTTCTTTGGTTCCAACTCTTGCAATGAGGAGGTGAATGTCCTTTCTGTAAACTCCAGTCCCAGCATGCCACCCTATCACTGCCTTCCCTCATCCCACGCACAGTCTGAGGGCGCCAGGTAAGCCTCCGAGTTGGCCAGATTAAGATGGACAAATACGAAAAAGTAACTCTGAAACAGCAACTCACAAATGCATGAAATGTTTTTAATCTCTGGACAGACTGCCAGTTTTTCCTTTTTTCTAATTCCTATTTACAGTGATAACATTGTTCTTTTTGTGATAAAAGAATAGTGTAGTACTTGGAGACAATTGCAGTTCTAATTGTTTTTTCAGGATTTCTATTTGACAGGTTCCAATTATTTTGAAACTATTGTATTCACTTGTGTACTAGTGTCAATAAAATTGACATTTGTGAAGCGATTTCTGGCCTTTTTCTCCGGGTTTGACTGGGTCTGGTGGTGTGTGGGGTGATGGGTCTTTGACTAACACTAGGTCTTCATTTCACTGAAATAATTCTCAGAGATTCTGAAAGTGGGAACTTCTTGAATCCGCCTTTTCCTCCCATTTTCTAATCTTCTTATTTAAGGATCATTGTACTGACCCCATAATAGTCCATGGGCAGGACATCTTTTTGTTGGTTTTCTGGGCGTGGTAGCTTTTCACACCTGTGTGGATGATGCAGTAGCTGAAGTGACCGGTGCACCTGGGACCTGAGGTGGTGGTGTGGCGTGGGAGCTTCTCCACAGTTTGCTCATACTGGAAGTATATTCACGGTATCCACCTTACCAACTCCATGCTAGGTTGTGTTGGCTCATCATTTTCAATTCCCGACTCCAGAGGGAGAGAATACATGTAGGGGGCATGGAGGCACCTCCAGGGAACTGCACTCACCTAATTGTCTACTGAATGGTGCAGAAAACTTTCAAAGGGTCCTTCTCTAATACGTTAGCAGACAGGCCTACAAGGTACTTCCATTTCGTTCACCTAGTCTTAGTTCTAGCAAGCCTGCATTCGAATGAAAAACGTCAGTCTTGGGGAGAAACGGCATTAAGTTAGAAGTCGTTTTTTGAGACACCCCACTTAGCTTCAATAAGTTAAGATAGACAAACTGCATTACGTTGGCAAAACCTCTACCTCGGCTGACTTCGTGAAGGGTAATGTAGAATTTCCACGTGATTTACTATATTGTCCTTTTTGGAGGAATCATTCATTACCTGTCGCTTTTCCACCATCAGAGGGAATGGTGAAAATATGATGAACTCGAGCTTTGCAGTTTTTTGTTTTTTCCCAATGATCATTTTTGCATGTAAATGTGATGTGAGTATTTCTGCCCCAAACAGTGAGAGACACGGAGTGACATCACCAGGTACAATAAGCTTGCTTCTGTTCTTTGTAGAATGGGGAGTTAGTTGCTTGACCTCCGTTAGCTGTGACCCCCACGTTATATGACGTAGTGTGTCCTCAGTACACCAGATACGTAGATCCCTCTTGTCTAGTTCTGTTCTCTAGTCATTCCCCCATGTCTCCTTGTGATGTAGACACTGTGTCTTTCTTGAATAATTCTTAGCAGCAAAGGCAGTAGTCAAGAGATGGAAATTCCATTTGGGATACACTATCCATTTAAACTATTGTAATTGTGCTCTAGGCAGAATTCTGTACCTTGTTAATTACATAACAGAGACCCACCTACTATACAGTAGCTGAACTATATGGCAACTCCAACTTTAGAAGGGAACAAAAAAGCACAACTAGAAAATAATTAAGAGCATTAAGTTTGCCCTAAAATAGTCAAGGTTCTAAAGATGTAAGAAGGGGAAAATTGTCAATGGAAACCAGGCCCCAGAAGGAATTACTTTTTTCTTTCTTTCTTTCTTTCTTTAAAACCTCTCATCCCCAAACAGGCTCCCTGACTGGTAGCCCCCACCTTTCAGAACTGTCCGTCAACTCACAGGGTGGGGCTGCGCCTGCCAACGTGACCTTATCTCCCAACCTGAGCCCCGACACCAAGCAGGCCTCTCCCTTGGTCAGCCCGCTGCTGAATGACCAGGCGTGCCCAAGGACAGAAGACGAGGAGGACATCCGCAGAAAGGTACCCATGGGTCCCGGCAAGATGGCGGGCAACAATGGGCTTGCAAAACCTCATGGCTGGCCTGCTCCACCCTGCTGGTTCTCTCCAGAGAATCACATCACAATGGCATCACCAGCTGGTAGATGGCAGGCTGCTTGCCAGGGTGCCCCTTGACAACCAGCTGCCATTTGTATTTCTATGAACAACATAACTTCCATTTCTCAGGTACCAACACTGACAGTTCATGGTGGTGGTTGTTAAATGCCTTTGAGTTCCAACTCATAGCAAGTTTGTCTAGGGTTTCAGAGGAGCAGCTGGTAAGTTTGAACCTCCGACCTTTGGGTTAGCAGTCCAGTGCTAATCCTACAGCGCTACACCATAACTCCATGGTAACTAGAACAAAGGGCATTACCTTTTCTCTTGCATTGATTTCCTGGAAAACTACATCACTCTGTCACTTCACGAATTAATCAGATTTTCTGGTGCCCAGTGGTGAAGGATGTTGATCTTGACATGAAAGGAAACATTCCTAAACTATCTTCTCCCCACAGCAATCCATTCTCTTAAACTGTATCATCTCACACACATATACACAAGAGGAGTTTAGTCTTGGTACCAGTGTAAAAATCATAAATCATAAATATGTCACTTCAGTCAGGGATTTCTTATAATCAGGATATGCCTAGAGATGTATACTTCAGAATGATTAGGATATCTTATTTCTCTTTATGAATTTTTCAGAGATTCCCAACTGACAAAGCATACTTCATTGCTAAGGAAGTGTCCACCACTGAGAGAACCTATCTGAAGGACCTCGAAGTCATCACTTCGGTATGTTTAGCATTTCCCCCAAAAATACTGGATTACATCATTTATCTCTAATAACTCTGCTTTATGAGAAGGCCTGTCATGAATTAAACATTGGGCGTTCTGGCTCCCAATTAAAAGGATTTGGTCCTGGCTTATAGAAATTAAGCTTTTGTGCTGTATTTCATTTGTCATCTTCACTATAAAACATTTATAATTATGAATTTTTAAGGGCAAAGGAAGCAAGATTTTAAAGTGGAGAAAGTGAAAAGGAAACATTAGCTGTCTGCACGCACTGAACCCGAACCGTTTCACGTTTTCCCCATTGTCAGATGGAACCACTTCTTTTTGCTCAGAGGCAAGGAGAAGCCTCATTTTATATTTTTATAATAAAATGAGCCCTGTCTGCAGAAGCTACCAGGAGACTGCCTTTTATTATTTTAACCCATCCTCTTCAGTCTTAGAAACTCATTCAGGGTATTTTGCTAACCCTTTGGGTTCTGGGGAAGAAGCAGTCCTTTTGAGAGGGGAATTCATGGAGATCCTAGTACTGGGGAGATCTGTTTTATGCTGGGTCCTCAGTAGATGCTCCGTAAACATTTGTAGAGTCAAACCCCAACTCACCTGGGTGAGCTGACTGACTTTGTACCACGGCAGAGGTCACTTTGTCACCCTGTTTGACCACAGTCATCCTCAGTGTTTTAACAAAGGGATAGAGATGGAATGAGGCAGAGGTCCTGAGGGATCGTAAATAAATGAAGACTCAGCGAGTTGTCAGAATGGGGATTTGGATTAGAGTGGTTGCCTACTCCTGGCTCCAATAGATGGGACTTATTCAAAAGAGGAAAAAATGTGGAACAGAACTTCAAATTCTTATTAGAAACTAGACTCTGGAAAATACATTGAGGCTGGAGGAACCCCTCAGTCTGTTGTCTGGAAACAACTTTTAGGCCTTCCACTGGAACTGCTCCCAGAAGTCTTTAAACAACAGTTTAACTCATTTAATAAAGAATGCCCACCTTGAGCATCAGATGTTTTCTCTATATGAGATCAAATGGACAACCCATCTCCTACCTGCTCCATAGGGTTTCCAGGAGTGGACAGCGTCCTCTTTCTTTCATGGACCAGCTCAATACTTAACCCACTGTGCCACCAGGACGTCTTAAAAAGACCACAGTAACTCTGACACACACGCGAACTTTAAGGGGCAGAGAGTCACAAAGTGATGTAACTATCGTTAATGAACTGGTGGTAGTTAAGTGCCTTGGAGTCGGTTCCAATTCATAGCGATCCTATAGAGGGTTTCCAAGATGCGGCTGGTGAATTTGAACTGCTAACCTTGTGGTTCAAACCAACCTTCAGTTCAGAAGACAGTTTTAGGGGGCAGAGAGTCATCAAGTGATATAAACATTTTGTCAGTGAACTTGACATATAAACGTTGTTTGTATGTTTTCCTTTAAAAAAAAAAAAATGTCATGGCTTAAATGAGTGATTGGTTAACAGATTTCAGAAAGAGCAGGTGCTTCTCATTGCTGTCTAATTCAAGAAAGGCTTGGAAAAATGCACGTGTTGTAAAATGCTTGTGTACGCCTGTGTGGGGCAGGGCGGTGATGCTGACTTCCCTGCCATTAAAAAGCCAACAGGGAAGTCATTTGTTCCCCAAGTGCATCTGGTCATAGCGGTAGTTCTGAAGAGCTACTCACCATTCATCTCTAGGCTTCTCAGTGTGTCCACTCTGCTCTTTCAGTGGTTTCAGAGCACCGTGAGCAAAGAGGACTCCATGCCCGAAACATTGAAAAGTCTCATATTCCCGAATTTTGAACCTTTGCACAGATTCCACACTAGTTTTCTCAAGGAAATTGAGCAGCGACTCGCCCTGTGGTGAGTACAACAATTACCTGCGTCTCTCTATCCCTTGCTCTCCCATTGTGTCTGTCTCAGTCTGTCTGTCTGGTGTGATTTTTACGTTGCTCCTGATAAGCAGCCGGCTCCTGGTATGGTGCTGTGGGTTAATGCGCCGGACTGCAAATTCATTTGAATCAGAAGGTTGGTGGTTCAAGCTCACCAGTCGCTCCTTGGAAACCCTATACAGAGTCGCTATGGGTCATAACTGACTCAACAGCACTTAACAACAAGACAAGGATAAGAGGCAATACATGGTTTTAAGGATAGCCAGCTTTAACATTTTGTTCAGTTAAACTCTGCATGTGTTTCGTTAACATCTTCAATTTTTTTTTTTCTTTTCTGTCTTTATCTTTTGGTCTGCATTCTCCAAAATGAATTCTTTCACATCGGAATTTATAGTTAAGTAAGCAGCACAGAATCGGAGACCAATGACTTCAGGAAGGGAGGAGCTTAACATAAAAACTAAAAACCTCTGAGGGACTCTTAGGGCTCTTGGTAAATTTTATTTCTTGACCTAGGACGTGATCTCATTGATGATGTCTACTTTATAGTCATTTATCAAGTATGTATCTACATCCTGGAGTCCTGGAGAGGCACTGTAGGTTAACATGCTGGACTGCAAAGTCATTTGAACCGCAAGGTCGGTGGTTCGAGCCTACCAGCTGCTCCTCAGAAACCCTATACTGGGTTGCTATGGGTCAGAAGTACACTTCACAATAACAATTATTTATTGCCGTGTTCTTTTTCTTATTATGAATTGAGTGAAGGTTTACAGGCAGGACCATTAGCTCTCTATTCATCAAAGCATACATTTTATTTCATCTCAATTAGAGCTGTCTACACGGGATCCAAGTTATAATGGGAACTTGAAAGATTCAATGGGAACTTCAGGGCTCAGTGAGTTTGTACTAATGAGGGAGAAGCAGCTCAGAAAAGGAGGGTGGGATGGTCGCCTGCCTCGAAGAACGTCGTCTGTATTAACGGAATTGTACGTGTAGAAATGGTGGGATCCGTGTATGCTTTGCTGTGCCCCTTCTCCACAACTACACATTTTAAAAAACAAAACAAAAACATGCCAGGAAGAAACAGCAAACGGTTTCTGTTGTGCTTGGGGCACCCCCAGAGCCCATCGTGTGCTGTATGTACCAGATATTCCCATTCCGGGGAGAGGTCAAGTTAAACGGGGGTCGGTACTTTGGACCTGTAGGGCCTTGAAGGGTCCCCATGAGGTGGCCTTGCCTAGCAGGAGCTCCCACAGTTGAAAAAATGAACAGAGCTGCTCCCCAGTCTCCGGAGCCTGCACTGCCTGACCAGTAGACGCTCCCTGACCCCTCAGTGGGGTCGGCTGTGCTCTTCTTTGTCCACCTAGAGAACAGCTCCGTGAAGTCCTCTTTCCCATGAGAGAAGGAAATGCTGGGTTTGCCTCTGAGGTACAGCCACCATGTAGAACTAACAAGTACAAACGCAGCTTCACTGCAAATGGAAAGAATTGAAAATACCAAGTAAACAAGTGTAGGAGGTACCAGCTTTCAAAATTAAATCTAAATGTATATATTGTATAAAATATAACTAGTCTTCATTTTAACTTCCCAAACTTTACCTAAAAGCTTTCGGCTGTAGTCTTCCATATTGCCTCATCGTCCTTGCAAACTTGAATGATGCTTTCACGATGGAATCAAAGACCTTCTTTGAACTCCTGAGAAACCATTCAGCATCATGGTTCTGATGTTCACACGTGTATCAGTGCAGCCTACACAAATCTACAGACTCAGAGCACCTTGAGTTGGTGTCACGGTAGCAGCCCGTCCTCTGGCAGTTGATTTAAATAATGTTGGGGAGATCACACATAGGAAGTGATCTTTGAAGATCAAGATGTGAGCCATCACGTGTCTGTGTATCTTGGCAGCTCATCATGAAGCTCTTGCATTGGAGGGACCCACCTGGGATGCTGTGGAGATTTGTCTAGAACATTTCATTTTAGGAATAGTTGCCATACTCATCGATTTACCTGTGTCCATAACTGCGGGTTAATGTGCTGGCCTGCAAGGTCATTTAAACCATAAAGTCGGCAGTTCAAGCTCACCAGCCACTCCTCGGAAACCTTATACAGGGTCTCTATGGGTTGGAACCAACTTGACGGCATGTAACAACAACATCAGTCATAATGCCTGGCCCTTATCTGTAAATGAATATCTAATTACTCAAAAAGCAGCTGACAGATGTCATTTGAATCTCAGAGAGTTTTCAGTAAAGTATCCTTCAAAGAATGACCCATAAATTTACCTGTGCTTTAGGTAACCATATCAGCAGTCTATCAGAGGTCAAAGACACTCAGTATTCCACTCAATTAAAAGGAACTTCAATAAACTCCGAACAGTGGACTTAACCTAAATAGATAATAATCATTCCATCCAACTAATCATTTCCTCAGGGGAGTCCTGATGTGACACTGTAGGATAAGCACTGGACTGCTAACCGCAAGGTTGGCAATCCAAACCCACCAGTCCCTCCTTGGAAACCCTCTTCAGGGTCACTATGAGTCAGAACTGACTCGATGGCACATAACCACAACAACCAATTCCTCAAGGGAGACTTGTCTTGACAGGGACTCAAAGGGAAAAGGCTGAGTGTGAATGAGTTTAGTTTGAGCTAAGAGAATAACACGGTCACTAGAAACCAGTATCTCTTTAATCACAGCACCCAACATTGACTCCTCATGGGAAACACCACCTGGTGCTGGTAACCAGGCAGAATCCCAGCCCAGGAAGATCCGGATTTCTGAGGGGAGGAGCCTAAGCATCAGTGTTGTTGTTGTTGTTGTTGTTATTACCATGGAGTCGGTTCTGACTCATAGTGACCCTACACAGGGTTTCTGAGGCCATAAATCTTTATGGGAGCAGAAAGCCTCACCTTTCTCCCATGGAACAGCTGGTAGTATTGAACTGCTGACCTTGAGGTTAGTAGCCCAATTAGAAACCACTATGCTACCAGAACTCCTTAAGCATCAGTATTTCCCAACATTTTCTGAGCTATTCCAATGTGCAGCCAGAGTCAAGTGGTAGACTGCCTGATTTGAAAGACAAGAGTCCAGAGCCTGGAAAAACGATTGTCCCTTCAAACTCCAAGGCTCAGAGTACATCCAGGTATCATATCCAACTCTGAAATGGTAAAACCAGGGAATGCATCCCAATTGGCCTAGAAGAGAGCAGATAATTTGATGGCTCTGTTTGGATATCTTCAAGCTGGTTAGGTCTTCTTAGTTGGACCAGAGAACCAAGTCTAGGCAAAGTGCTGAAGTCCCAAGGACATATTTTGTCTGCATATAGAAAAGGATTTCCTAGTTCCAAGTGTAGCTTAGCAATGAGAGGCATGCTTACTGGTGGAGAGCATCTCCTCCTCAGAGTTCCGGAGTTCCTTGAGTCCAAGTTGAATGATCCTTTGGCAGAAAGTATTTCTCCATTGGGTAAAACCTCAAACCTGGAAGTATATCAGAGCCACCTGGAGAAGTTTGGGGGGAAATACACAAATTACTCAGATCCCATCCTAACTGTCTTGAATCCAAATTTGGAAGAATGAGATGTGGCACTTTTCATTTTGTAAGTGCTTCTTGAGCTGATTATTGATGCATACCTTTCTAGAACAACTAATCTGGAGTGCTTTTGACAATCCTGATTTCATGATTCTTTGATATGCATCTCCCACACTGGTTACAACTCTTGTTTCTTTATTCTACAAGTATTCTGTTGGTTCTGATCCTGCCCACAGAGGACTTGCAATCTCGGAAGAGCCGGGCATGTAGAACAGGGGGGGGGCAGGTCCTACCTCAGTGTATGATTGGATTCCTGCAGGCAGAGTGAGACTTGTCTGTTCTGCCTTGTGGGACATGGGCCATAAATGTCTGTGTAGAGCAAGCTGCCCTGGAGCCAAGTTCTTCACTGAGGATCATGGATCAAAGGGGAGCTAGGACACTGAGTTACTGACAGCAACAAAAATAGATTTTTTCTTAATATGATAGGGAGTCCTGGTGTGGCGCTGTGGGTTAATGCGCCAGACTGCAAAGCTGTTTGAACTGCAAGGTTAGTGGTTCAAACTCACCAGCTGCTCCTTGGAAACCCTATACAGGGTCGCTATGGGTCGGAACTGACTCAATGGCACTTCACAACAACAATATGATAGGAGGCACACTGGTTAAAGCACTTGGCTGCTAACCTAAACGTTGGTGGTTTGAACCTACCAGCAGCTCTGCAGGAGAAAGATGTGCCCTTCTACTTCCATATTTATAGCCTTGGAAACCCAATGGGCAATTCTATCCTAGCCTATAGGGGCTTTGTGAGTAGGAATCTCTGTCCAAGTCGCTGTCTCAGTGCTGTTACATGAATAACATGACCCAGTGTTTGTAAAGGATTGCCTAAGAAAAAGAAAGCTGATCATTTTTTTAATCAACTTTTCATTTTGCAGTGATTGTAGATTCAAAAGACAGTTTTAAAAAATTACACAGAGGGTTTCTTTATACTTCTTACTGTTACTCTTCCCTTAAAGTTGACATCTCACCATACCATGGTGCATTTGTCAAAACTTAAGAAACCAACACTGGAGCATTAACTATTAAATAAACTCCAAACTTGATTCGATGGAATTATTTTAAATTACCATCATGAATGATAAAATGTCTATATGTCTGTATGTCTCTGACATGCACTAAGACTAAATTCCTCTCCAACATTGACTGTAAACACAATACCTTTTCCTTTGACCTGGGCCACTAGAAAGAGCTAGGTCAGATCTCACAAGTTCAAAGGGCACAGTTTTGCAGAACCTCGCTGTCAACTGTTAGGACCAGGGATTCCCCGGTCCCTTCATTTCTGACTCACTGGCTACAAATTTGGGAGTTCCTATTACCCAGTTTGCTAACACTTAAAAACAACAACCACAACACTACCCCATGGAGTCCCGGGGTCGCACTGTTAGGATAAGCA